TAATTTCAGCCATGCTGGTATGTGTAAAGTGGTATCTAATGTTTGATTTTCATTTCCCTAATGAAAAATGATGCTGAACATCTTTTCATGTGCTTATTAGCTATTTTATCCTCTTTTTTAGACAAATGTGTACTCAAGTCCTTTACCCATTTTTTAATCAGGTTGTTTGTTGTTGTTGAGTTGTAGTGCTTCATACATTCTGGATAATAGACCCTTATCTGATATATGATCTGCAAATATTTTCTCCAATTCTCCAATTCCACTTTCTTGATAACATCCTTTGATGCACGTAGTTTTTTATTTTGATGAAATCCAACTGACCTGTGAACAGAGATGGTTTTACTTCTTTCTTTCCAATATGGATGTTTTTTCTTTTTCTTGTCTAATTTCTTTAGTTAGAAGTTTCAGGACAATGTTGGATAACAGTAGTAGTGAAAGCAGGCATCCTTGGTCTTGTTCTTGATCTTCGGGACAAAGCTTTCAGTCTTTCACCATGGAGTATGATGTCAGCTATGGGTTCTTCATAAGTGCTATCATGCTGAGGAACTCTTCTGTTCCCAGTTTTCTGAATGTTCGATTACAAAAAGGTGTTGCATTTTGTCAAATGTCTTTTGTGTCTATTGAGAGGATTGTGTTTTTTTCCTGCTTTTTAAAATTTTTATTATTTTTTAAATATTTAATTCATTTATTTGTGAGACAGAGAGAGAGTGTGCGCACAAGCAAGAAGAGGAGCAGGCAGAGGGAGAAGCAGGCTCCCCGATGAGCAAGGAGCCCTCTGAGGGGCTCAATCCCAGGACTCTGGGACCATGACCTGAGGCATGATGCTTAACTGACTAAGCCACCCAGGCATCCCTCCTCCTTTCTTTTAATGTTATTAAAAGAATATACCTCATATATTGAGGTATATATGAGGGCTTATTGGCTTCACTGTCTTTATGTTAATCATCGCTGCATTCCTGGAATAAATCCCAATTAGTCATAGTGTATAATCCTTTTATATGCTATTAGTCTGATTTGCTCGTATTTTGTTGAGAATTTTTACATCTGTATTCATAGAGGATATTAGCCTGTAATTTTCTTTTCTTTTTTCTGACTTTGGTATCAGGGCAATGCTGGCCTCACAGAATGAGTTAGGAAGTGTTCCTTCCTCCTTAATTTTCTGGAAGGCTTTGAGAAGGTCTCGTGTTAATTCTTTAAATGTTTGGTAGCATTCACTTAATGAGGTCTTCTGGTCCTGGAGTTTTCTTTGTTGGAAGGTTTTTTTGTTTTGTTTTGTTTTTAAAGTAGGCTCCATGAACACTGTGAAGCCCAATGTGGGGCTCTAACCCTGAGATCAAGACCCTGAGCTGAAATCAAGAGTTGGACACTTAACCAGCTGAGCCACCCAGGTGCCCCATGTTGGAAGGTTTTTGATTACTGATTCAATCTCTACTTGTTACAGGTTTGTTGAGATTTTCTTGGGCCAATTTAAGCAATTTGTTCATTTCTAGGAATTTGTCTATTTCAGCTACATTATGTAATCTGTTGGCATACAGCTGTAGATAGGGTTCTCTTATGATTCTATTTCTGGAAGGTTGGTAGTGATACCTTGACTTCTATTTCTGATTTTAGTCATTTGCATCTTTTTTTTTCTCCCCCAGTCTAGTGTGGTTTTAATTTTAAGTGTGGGAGCAGAGCATTGTGAAATGCTGCAGATACTGCTGGCTCCCTAACTAACAGCCATTTTTCCTACCTCATGCTTTGGTGCAGAACCCTGATTTTGTTTAGGCACTGACTCCTTTCTCATAGGATTCAAGAATAAATCATGAGTAGTTTAAGCCAATCACAGTGTAGTGGTCCTACTCTGTTTGCCAGTGATTGATTCAGAAGTCACCAAATGACCTAGCTCTGGCCAATGAGACTCCGAGATAGGCAGGCTGGTTGGGTCCTGAGAAAGGTTCCCTGTCATTAAAGATAAAATATGGAGCTTGGAAAGGAAGTCTTTCTTCTGCTGGACAATATGAAATCTGCATGTGATATTTCAAACCATGGCAGCATTCTTAAAACCACTTGGGAGCTGGTCAAAGTCAAAACCAGCACCGAGGACAGAAAAGCAGATATAGGGAAAAAATTTAGTTCCTTGATAACCTATATGAATTCTGAATTAACCTACCCTGGGGCACTAAACATTGTATTAATTATCTTTTTATCAAATTCTGTGTGTTTTGGGGGTATACTGCTTATATAGATAGCTGCTATCTTATTTCCTATACAAGGGGTTTACAACCTTTTTGGTGGACTTATTTTATTAGCAATATCCCTTTTGTATCAACTGATGGTTTTTAGTATATGTGCTGCCGAAGCAATACTGTTCAGGGGTATTTTAACAATATATAGCTGGATTTCATTTTTTAAACCTCTTGGTAGATACCACCTTTACATAGAGGAACTGAACCCATTTACATGTATTGTGATGATAGTTATATTTTGTTTTAAGCTTTTCATATTATTTTACATTTGTCATTAGTTAGCTTTTTTTCATTTATCATACTTAGTTATTTCCTCTCTTCTCTTTGTTTTTATCTAGTTTGGACAATTTTCCAATCATTCTTACCCCTACTCCCACTACCCTAATTTAAAACGTCTATCATATTTTTCCATTATATAAGTCATTATGTATCTAACCCTAGCACTGATAATGTTTGAACATTAAATGACAGACATTCCTACTCCACTCACCGAGACCTTTATAACACCTTCTTGTACCACTACATTTTCTCAAATGTTTATTTTTTTTTTTAAAGATTTTATTTATTTAATTGACAGAGAGAGAGACACAGAGCGAGAGAGGGAACACAAGCAGGGGGAGTGGGAGAGGGAGAAGCAGGCTTCCCGCTTAGCAGGGAGCCTGATGCAGGGCTCGATCCCAGGACTCTGGGATCATGACCTGAGCCAAAGGCAGTTGCTTAACCAACTGAGCCACCCAGGCGCCCTCAAATGTTTATTTTTAAAAGGCTATCATATATGCCCAATATAAAGCAACCTGAATATAGTAACAAGAGCCTCATTTTCTACCCAAAAAGGTTTTTTTTGGCTAACTTGAATATATCAAGTTTTAGGAATATATAGGATAACATTTTTAAACTTATAATATTTAAATCATCTTTATGTTATATATACCTATCTAAAATCTAAATTAAATTTTTAAAAATTTAAAAAAATTTTAAATTTTTTCTCCTTGCAATTTATGAAATAATATTATCCAAACTACCCACATACATCTAAAAACATTTACCTTCATCATCACCATAACTAGTTTTTGAGTCATCTAACAGTTTTTCAGAGTAAAATGTTTTTACTTGTTTGAAAATCAGCACTTTTTGAGTCTGGTATGATGCTGCCAGAAATTTTATCCAAAGTACCATAACCATTTGCAAAGCATTAAAATTGCTGGGCTTTTCTGACCCACCTAAGGCAAGTAGATATCCACAATCTCCACAACCAAACCACTTATTGCATCCCGTTTTAAAGCAGTATTTAAAAAGGCAGTTAAGGGGCGCCTGGCTGGCTCAGTTGGAAGAGCATGTGACTTGATCTCAGCTGATCTTGGGGTCATGAGTTCGAACCCCGTGTTGGGTATAGAGATTATGAAAATACCATAAACTTTAAAAAGGCAGTTAATAAAAATATCTAACATAACTGATAAGATTATGACCTCCAGAATAATTCTGAATGTGTTAAATCCCATTACTCCCTCAAAATGAAAACTCTGCCAGGTGGTCTCTATGAGCTTCCTGACACTGGCACTGGCTGAGGTTTCAGGCTAACATTTCTTTCTCAAACAGTACTGTGTTGTTCAAAATGATACACTTAAAAGAACATCACATTACATGAGGGGCTTTGTAAGGCAACTCTCTTTACTAAAGGTTCACTTTCAGGGAAAAAAAAATCTTACCTGACATTTTATAGTATGTGGTAACTGAGAATTTCTGTTTTGTGTTACTTCTAAAATCTCCCTTTCATTTCCACTTTGAAAAAAAAATCCTTACTTAAGACATACTACAAATTCCCAATTTGTTCTTCATTCTCTTTCTACTTCATTTACATGTAACTATATATTACAATATTCACTGCTTACCACCATTTCTGTATCTTCTCCTATCTTCAGAAGTGTTATTACTGAGCTTTTATTTGGTTAGAGAAATTCTTTGAGTATTTTCCTCAGCTCAAATACATGGAAGTATACTGCATCCTTATGTATTTGAAAATTCTTTATTTTACACCCAGAAGTTGGTGAAGTATAGTGTTTTCTCTCAATAACGGAGATACTTCTACTATCTTCTAGCTTCCAATTTCTATGTATTCTTTGATTTTAGGAAATTCAATTGTGTAGGGCTCAGAGTTTTTTTTTAAATCTAGAATCAAGTCTTTCCCTCATCAGTTCAGGAAGTTTGTTGTCACACCTAGAATTCCAAAAATACACCAATACTGTAATTCTGACTATTTCTGGGCAATAGAATTGTAGATAATATTGATTCTCTCCATAATTTTCTGTTACATGCATAGAAAAAATAAAGACAGTAAAAACAAAGAGTTACTTCTAGACTTGCTTGCCTTTCAAGTACATCTGTTAAAAAAAAAAAAGTTATTTATAAGTAAGATACTAATCTTCTTATACACAATTCTAGAAATGTCAACAGCAAGGGTAAAAAAATGACACCCAAGGAAAATATATTTATTTTACCAGCATCCAGTGCCTAGCACAGTTCTGAGTACACTGAGGCATTCGATAAATAGATGGTGAGTGAACAGAACACACAAGCTCTATGACAAAGGAAAAAATATTAAGCTAAGATGACTATAGCAAGTTAACTATATTTTGGAGATGAGAGACAGGAGGCCAGACTAATGAAACTGTGACATATTAAATATCACCTCAGAGGTTTATTCAAGTACGCTTATAAAAGCTAAAACTATAAAAGCCACTAAGGACCATTATAGTAGGATCTGTTCCAACTTACCTCACACAACATTCTACTGCACGAAACCAATGAAGCATCTCATCATGTAGAGTACACAACTGAAGACAGGACAGAAAAACTTTCTCAGCATCACTGTACCAGCCTGCATCTGAAAGAAAGCCACCTAAAGGACAAGAAAACCAGGTACTTTAAATAATTTAATAAATCACTTAAAAGCTAAAGTGACATGCTTAAAATGAGTATCATCTAAAATGAAAACACTCATAATATTAAAGTCCTGTGTTTGGCCCAAAATAAAGATACTGTGAAACAAAAAACAAAACAAAACAAAAACTTTTAAACTCGGGTAATGAGATCAAAGTTGAGGCCTTGAATAAGAGTCAAGAATTTTAACCCTCTAAAAATACTCCGTAGCCTAAGAAATGACATTTTCCAGTTAATTAGCCATATATTCTAATGATCCTAACATTTTCAAGTTGCAGGGTAAACATAACTTTTCAATCTCTCCATACCCAATTTCAAAGAATACCTCAATAAAGCTATCATTAAAAAAATTATCTCTATCACTGTATACTTTTGGTATGAAGTTTTTTTCACTGTTTTGGTAACTTTAGGATCCAGACCAATAATGTAATTATGAGTTTGTTAGAACTTGGTTCTATCTCCAAGATATTTCTTCAATCTGGCTCATTACAATGGCCAGATACTGGTATAATAAATGTTTGTGGAGATGACAGAGGACCTCAATGAACACTAACCTTCCTGCCTTTCATTTTTATTGATTCTAAAGTTGTTCTCCCACAGATTTTTACACGACTGTCTACGACTAAAGGAATGCCAACCTTAACATTCATCAAGATCACACTCTCTTGTTAGAGACATTCTTTGGTCACAATTCTTGGTTGCAGTTTATATTCCATGGGACTACCAAAGGATAAATGCTGAGTGCTTTTTTTTAGAAAAAAAAGTTCTGAAGTTCCTCCAGCAACTACGAATACAAAGAATTATTCTAAGACTAAAGGAAATGATCGTGAAAATGTGTTGGGCAAAGAAAATATATGTGCATGTGTAAAAGAGCTAAAACATGCACATGCAAGTGAGAAGTTAAACATGAGAGTCTGGGGGCGCCTGGGTGGCTCAGTCGTTAGGCATCTGCCTTCTGCTCAGGTCATGATCCCAGGGTCCTGGGATTGAGCCCTGCATTGGGCTCCCTGCTTGACAGGGGGCCTGTTTCTCCCTCTCCCTCTGCCGCTCCCACTGCTTTTGCTCTCCTGCTCTCTCTCTGCCAAATAAATAAATAAAATCTTAAAAAAAAATTTTTTTTTAAAGAAAAGAAGGGTAGCAACAACTTTAATAAGTAGTTGCCTGAAACGTACTTATCTATGTAGATTTGTAAACAGTACATAAAATATTATATAAACCGTTAATATTTTT